AATCGAAAGTTTTATTGGAAACATCACTTTTTATAAAAGTGTTCCATTTCATGTTTTGCTTCACAGAAATCTATTTAGAAAAACATTGTCGGAATATGGGTTTAAAAAAATGTTGCAGTATATATTGCGTTGTTCTTTTCAAAATTTTAATTTTTAGAGAAAGGGCGAAAAACGAGCTCCAAATTCTTTTGATGGTAATTGTATGCTGTGTCTTATAGACATCTATATTTTATCTTCGATTAAGAATCAAAATGCAGATGCGTTGTCTCCCCTGTGGACTTAAATGGCATACCTCGTTTTCTCCGGTTCTCTACACTCACTACTCAAAACATATTGAATGGTGCTATTTTAAGCAAGTGTTCTGTGAGAGCGTCGTCCTTCCACGGTCTAATCGACACATTCGCCACGTTTGATAAGCGGGTTGGCAAACGCAGTTTTTATAATTTTGAGCCGTTATCAGGAAGACACTGGACATCTCCTGTTCCAGTTTCCTTCTGTCGCCTCTTACGACAACCACGGGATGATATGGGGTAGTGGATATCTTTGCATCGCCATGACACGGTTAATCTCCCTCTATATAATACATTTTATTGGGATACCTCTGTCATGATTAAATAAATAAAAGAATTTATTCACTATATTAACAATTTTTCTCTTGCAGTTTGCAGCACTAAGCATACCATTGTTGGGAATGTTTTTTTCGTGTAGATTGGCTGATGTAGTAGAATAGAGTAGAATAAAAATAGAACATTATTGTTTTATTTTTTTATGTTCTATTTTTATTCTACTCTATTCTAATATTCTATTTTATTCAATATGCCATCACGACGTTCGGTGCTAAATGACATCCACAAATGTTGTTTTCGTACATACGCTACAATGTACGAACATATGTGAGTGTGTTTTCGTGAGTATGGGCCAGGTCGTTCTACATGGAATTACGTCTGTTTCGCAAACTCTGAACTTAAATATAGTAAAATACTTGTTCTTACATATGGTAAGTGATTCCATGATTTAGAAAGATTTTGTTTTGGCTTCGTTTTTTACAAGAAACCACTGAACAACACGGCATTCTGATATTGTTTCATGATTACGGTTGAAAGCACACTAATACGCGGAAACGGCTGATTGAATAGAACTTGAGCATTTTGATCATATCGCGCGGACACAGACACGCCCCCTTGCCACTTCTCCCCTTTTTAATATTTCTATGGCTGTAGATATATGTTTAGATATTTTAATGAATATCTCTATATAATGTAGTGACATTCACAGCCGGATTTCCTACAGTGTCAATATTGTATAAACGATAGGCTGTTTAAATGAAAAAGGGATTAAATATACATGTTAAACGATGCCATAGTAAAAGTATTTCGGCTTCAAAACCTAACGTAGAAATTCATAACTCTGTTAGTAATTCCTGTAATGACATAAATATTTCCCTTTTTTCGAAGCAAATTTACAATTAATATCGTAATGTACCAGTGGTTAAAAGAATTCGTAGAGATACGAGGATGCAGCTTGCTAAAGCATTGTCATACACTATTCAAATTTTTTTCACTAATAGTGAAAAGAGTTGGCAAAAATTATTTTCTTAAACAAATTAATTACGTCTCAACTTAAAGATACCTCTTTTCAAATTTTGATTACCCAATTGATACTTACCTACTTACTTACCTTGTCCTAAATTTAATTTAAAATGTAGTTGAGTTGAAAGTAATGAATGGTGAATTAAAAAATGCATCCCGTATCTTATTCTCAGACGACATCATGACTCCTAGTAATGTCGAAACTCTTGAAGGACTTCGTGAGAAGCATCCTTCGGTCAATCCTTTCCAAAGTTTACTGCTGTATCCCAAGGTTTCCATGCAACCTTTACGAATTTAGGGAAAAGACACTTTAGAAGGACTAATGTCAGTTTCAGTCAGGACATCTCCTGTTCCAGTTTCCCTCTGTCGTCTCTTACGACACACACGAGGCGTCATGGGGTAGTGGATATTCTTACTACGCCACTTCACGGTTATTTTAACAATAAGATTGAAATAATATTCTAAATGATTACAATATAAATTATTTAAATTAAAGTCTTATCAATTTAACGTACGATTTTTACAAGAATAAAAACACTTGCCCTTCTGAAGATGTGCAATCGCTCATTATATCTTCCGGGGACGTACATTTAAACCTTTGTGAATTGCTCTTCATTTGAGATAAGCTAACGATGTCGTACTTCTGAACGATTGTTAAAATATATACTAAGTAAAATTTATAACGATGGTCTTCAGACGAAAATAATGTAAATTAAATTAGATACATGTTACGATAGTAGCTCAGGGACTAAGTATTCTCCGTTTTTCTTGACCAACCTGCAACCCGCAACCTGGATTCGATCCTCGCCTAAGCCATTGACATTATTTATTTAAATTTAAAGTGCTTGTTAACTACAACCTCGGTGTTGAAGGAAAGCATCGTAAAGAAATTTATCAGTTTGACACTTATATACCCAACTCTCAAGTAGATTTACAAAAATATTTTCATCATGGTACTCTAGTCAATTGAATTTTTAAATGGCTTTTGTTAGAAAACTACAGTGACGAATGAACTTACTATCCGTTACCTAATGCTAATTGGCTACTGCAGTCTATGGATACCTGCGGACAACTTCGAACAAAGATGGCTACAGATACGTTGTCACCTTTGAGGACGAAAATAGAATGCCTCACAGCCTGTTATTATAAAAATTAAAAGAGTTATAGCCTATATATATCCCACTGCTGGGCACAGGTCTGCTCTCATTTCTGAGAGGTTTTTAGGGTAAGGAAATTTCCAGCAAGCTGCCGTAATGCGTGTTGGAGAACTTCACATGTCTTAATAAATAATTTGTTTTCAAAATTCAAAATATATTTTTTATTATTTATCAGACATGCAGGTTTTCTTGCGATGTTTTCCTTCACCGTCGTGCACGTCGTAAATGAGCAATTAAAATTGCAATTTGTAATTTCGTTGGTGCCGGCGATATTCGAACCAGAGTTGCTCACATACTGTTAAATTTTCAGCGAGTGCATAGTACCTGAGCTACCGCACGTCAAGATTCCAGTTGTATTAGTAATTACTGTAATTATACTGCCTCTCAACATCCTTTAGACCGGTGCGAGCCTACCCATACGAATTATTAGGCAGAAACGGAGTCATCATCTAGTAGCATAGATACAGAGTCCAGTATTTGCGAAACAGACATAATTCCATGTAGAAAGACCTGGCCAATACTCAAGAAAACACACTCACATATAATCTTATATTTACGCTAACTCTACACATTTAATAAAACTATTTTTTACAGATGTTATCGCGTTTTTCATTTACTATTTTAATTTCCGACGTTTCCTCCATGACCATGGGTTGCTGTAAAGCACCCGAAATTTCGGGAATTAAACTAGTAAATTAAACGCGATAACATCTGTAAAAAATAGTTTTATTCAACACTCACATATATTCGTACATTGTAGCATATGTACGAATATAACATTTGTGGATATCATTTACTGCCGAACGTCTATGCAATGCTGGCATGTTGAACAGCATAGAATAGAATATTAGAATAAAATAGAATAAAAATCTATTCTACTACATCAGCCAACCTACACGAAAAAAACATTCCCAACAATGCTATGCTTAGTGCTGCAAATTGAAAGATAGAAATTGTAATATAGTGATTAAATTAATTTATTTGTTCAATCATTACAAAGGTATTCCCATAAAATGTCTTATATAGAGAGAGATTAACCGTGTCACGGCGATGCAAGAATATCCACTACCCCATATCATCCCGTGGTTGTCGTAAGAAGCGACGTACGAAAATAAACCAGGAAATGGGCAGCGGCGCCCTCCTGTTTACAACAATTAGAAAAAGACTGTGGTTGCCGACCCGCCTGCTAAGCGTGTAACAGAAAATATTTTCAGATGAAATAAATACAAATCAATTAAATATTAATTTCACACAACTGCTAGTATAGGAAAACAACAATGAAATAATATTTATCTCAACAAATTTGGGGAACAGACCTTACCTATAATCAATGTTCTATTATATTTACTAAGTCTGTTAACAAAACAATAAGATACGGCTTCGTTTAACAGTGCCATTAATTAAGACGAATGACAGGGCCAAAATAATACGAGTACAATGGCTGCCTAAACGTCTTCCACGTAATGTCCATAATCAATTCTTCTCTTTTAGTAGAAGAATGTACGATCAATATTGTCTTGGTATGATATACATAACATTCAACAGAATAGACCAAGTTTTCGTTAAAATTTAAAAAAAATTACTTTTTTACTTAAGTAATCGAGAACAAACAGCTTCTGATCATTTATAGGTGATCTAATCAAAATTCAGATACTTTGACGTCCTTGAGTACTAAGACAGATTGACGGTACCTACATCATATTCATTATTAGGTACACAAGAAGTGCAATCTATAACAATTTAAGTCATTTTACAGAGTTACAAAGCGTTCACAATTATCCAGTCTTTATTCGAACTGATACAACTGGAATCCTGATATATAATATGAATAATAGGATACGCATTGAAGTAATTTGTATAGACAAATCGACGGTCCCTACGTACATAAAGTCATGTCAAAAATGGCATTTTTTTTATTGCATAATTGGCTTTAAATTTTCCTTATGCACATACCTGTATAAGATTTTTTTCTAAATATTACGTATTTAACTTCATTTACAAATCGTATAAGAGAACAAGTATGATAATTACTACGAATAAATGTCGTAGATGCGGATATCTATACCTATCATTTCGTACGGCGTTTTAAAATGCGCGCCACACGGTGCGAGCGCGGTCTTGTCTGACTTAACTTCATTCACTTGGAGAAGACGTGTCGATGCTTGTTTGCGTGGTGAAATGATTGTTTTAATACAGTTATGATTTAGTGGTGTGTATTTAGTTAAAAGTATTCATAATATTTCCTGCATAATACATGAATAACAGTAGATCAAAGTTATTGGTGGATATTGCAAACTCCAGAAATAATGTTTTATGCGTTTCTGAAGCACAAGATTTAATTAATTATATTGCTGAAGCGAATGAGGGTAAGTAGTTATTCAAATAAGTATATATTAAACACTCAATAATACACAAAACCGATAACAATAAGTATTTTTATTGTTTTTCTAACCGATCGCAGTGTAAAAGCAGACAAATCAGACATATCCGCTTATACTATGATATAGTCATTAAATTATCATTATTGCACAAATAATTATAATAAGTTGCATGCTTCTTTAAAATATGATTTCTATGAAATAATTATAATAAAGAAAAAGCTTTTATTGTTATCGAAGTATATGAAGTCATGTCTTACATGTTTGTATATACGTGTAACTTGAACATTTATGTATGAATTTGTTTTCATGTACGTTTATTAATGTTGTTGGATAAACATACATTACATTTTTATTTTTTAGATACACATGCATATACCGAAAAAGATGTATCAATGGATCTTGAGAATCGGCATTTGGAAGTTTCTATCGACGAAAGACAAGCTGCCGAAGCACATAGTGATGGAGAACAAAATCATATTATATCAGCTAATATACTATCGCAAAGTGATTTAAATTATATAATCGATACGGTAGGGGAAATTTCGAATGTTGAAATTGAAAATTACGATCTCACCACGCCCATTTGTGAAAATGAAACACCACAATCAATAACTGAAAATTGTGGTTCAACACCAATGCCAAGTCCATGCAGGTCCTTTGGGGACACTGTAAACGAATGTAACTATTTAAGCGAAAGTACTGTTCTCCTATCTGATGCAACCTTCAGATCAAGCCCGTTAGGATCCAGTGAAATGTCTGGTTCATCAACACCGCACCAACGAAAAAAAAAGCGTCAGTATGTGAAAAAAGCAATAATAAGGAACAGAATTACTAACAAATCTATCTGGCTTGATGAAAAAAGGAAGGTGCTTGTCAATTTAGGTGAAGCTCATAGATCTCGATCCGGAAAACTACAAATGGCAAAACAAATGAAGATTCCATGTCCATCTAATTGTCGATTAAAATGTTTTGAAAAATTTGATGTGGTAGCTCGCCAAAATATATTCAAAACCTTTTGGGATCTAGGTGATCATTCTCATCAGTGGTCTTTTATAGCGTCGCACGTGAAAGAAATAAGAAAAAAACAATGGACACAGGATTCCAAGAGGTTAAATGTTTATAAGTTTTTTTTGCCGCTTTTGTCTCGTAGTGGCCACGAAGAGAAGATTATGGTATGCAAAACCATGTTTTAAAATACGTTTTCTATAAGTAACACTTTCATACAATCTGCCATCGACAAGCATGACAAAAATACGGGTATTTGTTCTAAGGACATGAGGGGATTTCATTCAAATCATCCAACTATTATAAACGCGGCAATGAAAGAAAATGTAATTCAACATGTAAAATGTTTTGCGCCCATAGAAAGTCATTATACGCGCAAAGACTCAAGTAAACAGTATTTAGATAGTGAATTGACTTTTAAAAAAATGTATGACCTGTATACTGTATGGTGTAAAGAGCTGAATATAACTGAAAATATAGCTACTTCTGTATGACAATACAAAGATATTGTTAACAAAGAACTTAACATAGCTTTTCACATACCTAAAAAGGACCAATGTGACCTGTGTCACGCAATGAAAAACAACACCTCGCCAACCAATGATGATAAACTGAAGCATAAGTCACATATTGATAACAAAAAACTTGCCAGGGAGTTAAAAAATGTTGATAAAATTGAATCTCAATCAAATCCTTCTGATATTTGCACAGCGTTAATCGATTTTCAAAAAATAAATAACACTCCACATGGTGAAATTAGTGTGCTGTATTGCAAAAGGAAATTATCAGTTTATAATTTTACAGTGTTTGATGCTGGGTTAAAGGAAGCTACTTGTTACATGTGGGATGAGACAGTTGCTAAACGTGGCGCCAATGAAGTAGCTAATTGTTTGTTTTCTTTTGTTAACAACAAAGTTAAAGCTGGCGTCAAAGATTTTAGATTCTGGTCAGACAACTGTGCCGGTCAGAATCGCAATCGTATTGTTTTTTTTTATGTACCTGTATGTAAGCAATACATTCAAAGTAGACATTTGCCATCGATTCTTGGAAAAAGGCCATACTCAAAATGAGGCAGATAGCGTTCACGCATTAATAGAGCGAACAGCAAAAAATAAACTTATTTACACACCAGATGAATGGTACACCCTGGTTCGCTGGGCAAAACAGAATAGCCCAGCTTATACAGTCGTAGAAGTAAATCAAGACTTAGTTTTGAATTTCAAAGCTTGGCTACATACTAAAAACTGGATAAAAGATACAAATTCAGAGAAAATTTCTTGGAATAAGATAAGAGAAGTAAAAGTACAATGGAATAATCCAGACATTATTGAATTTAAATACGATTATATTGAAGAAAATTATAGAAAACTGAACTGTGGCATGAATTTGAAATTAACTAGAGGGAGGAAAAAGAAGGAACAAGAACCAAAACTAGACAAGTTGTACAATAATCCTATTCCTATCACCGAAGTGAAATATAAAGACTTGGTTAGTTTATGCGATACAATGATCAGCCCAAAAAAATATCATGACTTCTACAAGAATCTTAAGCACAGTAAAGAAGAACAGGGTGATGACGAAGAAGATTAAAATAGTCTATACTTAATTTTTATATAAATTTTATTTTTTTATGTAACTAGTTACCAAAAAAATTTAATAGTAATAAGATAAATCAGTCTGAATAAAACTGTGATGATTATTAAATATTACCAATTAGGTAGATAGAATATGAGGCACATACTTAAATAACGCTGTGATTTTGATTTAATGGTACTAATTTAATAGATAGATAATTAAGCTAAGGTACATACTTAATTAAATAAAGATGTGATGAATATTAAATATTACCAATTACAAAAATAAAACTTGCTAAATAAAAATTCTTAATAATTAACCTTAAACAACTGTGATTTTTAATGTTTAATTCCTACTGCAATGAAACTACAAGTACCTACTAAAGCATAGAAATATACCCATAAAAGCATAGTCCTGAGTAACCTGCATCCATCGACTTCCTGCACCTCTTACCAGGTCCTTGAAATAACAAATAATACATATTGTTGAACTGCGTACTTGTTTTTCTTTTATAAAATAAGGGTGACCAATGAGCAAATAATCAATCTGATAGTAACTGGATGCTATGGCCCATAGACCTCTAAATTTATCACCGATTAAGTATCAAAATGCAGATGCATTGTCGCCCCTGAGGACTAAGATGGAATGCCGGGTTACCATTAAAAAGGATCTCCTGTTCTCAATTGTCAATATACGCAGCAATATTATTTTGCTATTTCATGCTTGTTATTTTAATTCATATTGTTACAGCGTAAAACTGTAATTTAGCGGTTGTTATTTCAACAAAAGTACAAAAAAACTCTCATGATAATTTATAAAACTCTACGTAACACTGAACTGTATAACCCACATCGATTGTGTCTACGCCAAGGACACCTCAACAATGATCTAGAGCGTAGTCGAGTTCGCGAGACGCCCAAGTGTCTAGAAACCTTGAAACTTGCTGCAAAATTATTTTTAAGTTCACGGATCTGTGTCGATTTAGGAAATATATCAATGAAGCAATCATTACAAAACTAGTGACAGTGGTAGAGCCACGCGGCAGCTTTTGCTGTCGCACGGATGGGCCGGCTCGAACCGGGGTGGTACCACGACCTCACAGAATACCAGCGTGAAGTAGAGGTTTACCTCTGCGTTTCGCTTGGTGAGTGCAGGTGGCCGGAGGCCCTTTTTACTGGAAATGAGGCATTCCATCTTAGTCCTCACGGGTGACGGCGCATCTGCATTTTGATTCGCAAACGAGGATAGATGTAGATGTCTATGGGCCGCAGCAACCACTTACCATCAGGTGGACTGTGTGCTCGTTTGCCACCCTTATCCTATAAAAAAAAAAAAAAATAGTCGGCTCTCCTCTCAATTAAAGAACAGGAAAATTCAGTCACTGTTATGTGAACTGGCATACTTTACATTATCTCGAAATATCTCGAATATATTTTCGAGAATCACATGTGAGCAAGACTGTCTTCCTAACATTATTTCTATATTGTTACTGAATAGGAATTTTATCTCTTTTTAATAGTAAAATGCAGTAATTTGCTCAATCGACCTTTACTTGATCTCTAAATTTTACAACGACGACAGGTACAACATTTTTTAAACATACCTACACAGCTTACGGACTAATATTGGCATGAGAACTGCTAATATAATTTGACAGGCGCTTCAACATGCCCCCCGGCGTTGAAAGTCTACCTTTCAACCAGATTCTTCAGGTTCAGGAAGCGGACAAATTTTGCTAAACGATCGGCGAACTATACCAGTCGATGTTTTGATATCCGCCACCCTTGATACGCCGTCCGAGCCTGGATGGACTGCGACGATGCGACCCATCTTCCACTTTAATGGCGGTGAATTCTCCTCTTTTAGGAGTACCAGTGAATTTAACTTCAAAGAGCCTTTACAGGAACGCCATTTCATCCGCAGTTGAAGCTCTGATATATATTCCTTGCTCCATCTAGCCCAAAAATGTTGACGTAATTGTTCTATTCGTTGAAATCGGGTTAAAGAGCTTACGGAATGATCTTTATAGTCTGGTGTCGGCAAGGAAGTCAAGGGGCGTCCAATCAAAAAATGACCGGGCGTTAGTGGTAGCAAGTCTTCAGGATTCGTTGACAAAGGTGTGAGTGGTCTGGAGTTAAGTATAGCCTCAATTTGTATTAATGTGGTATTTAGTTCCTCGTAAGTCACATTACAATTGCCCAGCACTCTAACTAAATGATATTTAATGCATTTGACACCAGCCTCCGCAAGCCCAGCAAAATGGGGAGAATAAGGCAGTATGAAATGGAAATTAATTCCTTCATTTGCCATTACCTCAGATAAAGAATTACAATACGTCCTAATAAATTTTGAAATGTCATTGTATGCGCCTACAAAGGAGGTACCATTATCCGAATAAATATTAAGAGGTTTCCCTCTTCTAGACATAAATCTGCGCAAAGCTAATATGAAGGTATTGCTAGTTAAATCACCCACTAATTCAAGATGAATTGACTTAGTCGCGAAGCAAATAAAAATAGCTATATACACCTTTACAATTTTACAACCACGGCCATGGCGAGAAACAGATTGAATCGGTCCCGCATAGTCTAGTCCAATATTTTGAAATGGAAAACCAGAAAGGATGCGTTGGTGTGGTAGGTTGCCCATTATTGGAGAGATGGTTTTTCCTTTCATTCTATTACATCTTACACATTGTCGATAACAAGATCTGGCCAAATTACGACCTCTAATCGGCCAGTACATCTCTCTTATAGTGGCCAACATTAGCTGTGGTCCCGCGTGCATTAACCTTATGTGCTCATAATTGAAGAGCAATTTGGTAAAATAATGAGTGGACTGTATAAGTATGGGATGTTTTTTCTCATAACAGTAATCGGAATTTTCAAGACGCCCTCCAACACGCATTATTTTATTATCATCGAGAAATACATTAAATTTATGCAACGGACTTTTAGTGGGTAAACTTTTATTTTTAATTAACATGGTGTATTCCTCAAATGATTCACTCTGAGATATTCTTATAATAACATTGAGTGCGGTTTGCAACTCTTGATTGCTTAGAGGACCGTGAACGGATTGCTTTCTACAACTATTAATAAAACGCAGCACATAAGCAACGGTCCGATTTAATCTAGTATATTTAGAAAAGCGTTTAAATTCAATTAATTTATTCCCACCTAAATCTTCATTGTTGCTAGAATGAAGTATTCCGTGGAGGATAACATTTGACGATTTAATCTCAGGCAACTCGTGATTAATACTTAAGAAATTTGCAGGCCAGTGAGAGACCTCTTTCTTTAAAAATTCAAGTCCTGACCACCACTTACTCATGGATGAAATATCCTTACAACTCACACCGCGAGAAATATGATCGGCCGGATTACACTCTGTTGGGACATGCCTCCACTCGCAATTTCCAGTCTTCTCTAATATTTCAGCAACCCTATTTCTGACAAAGGGTTGTAGCTTGCTAGGTAACACCTTTAACCATCCTAACACGATGGACGAATCTGTCCAAAAGAAAGTGCGCTTAGCCTGTTGTCTCAGCGATGCTACAACCTTTTGGTAAAGGCGAGCTCCAACAAGTGCACCACAAAGTTCCAGTCTTGGG